ACTTTGATGCATTTTTCAAATTTCGCCTTGGGGCGGAGTTATCTTTTCACCGGGGGGGTAAGTTACACTTTAAATTAATCTATTGAATTAGTCTGAATACAGCAAGCATTTTCAACAAAAGAGAGCCCTAAATCCTGATTTTATTGATCAGATTTGACTAAATTGGGTTATTTTTTCCCCGATTGAAACCTAGAAAATTGCAAAACTTCTTAAATAAGGGAAACCTGCAAATTAATGGATCTAGATTAATTTACGCATCCATTTCCAGCAATAAATCTGACTACTTTATTTGTTTAATGAAAGTATTCAATGTTTAGTTTATTGTTGAGCAGGTAAAGGATAAATATTTTCGGCCCTCAGGTTCTTCTGACTTTATGATTTTGGCCCATGTGACAAAATGTTTGGACAGCCCTGTTATAGGACAACCCTAAAATAGAAAAAAGTTGGGTTATGTACAGATTTGCATACCTAAAAATCCACATTTTATTAACAAACACATAATAGAAACTGTATCAATTTCTGAAAAAATTCAGGACATGTCAAAAACATTTGGACAGCAGCAACAAAAGGCTGTAAAASTAACAGCTGGAGTATTTCAAGCAGCCTAATAATGAAAATCAAATAATAGATTTTGACAAGCTCACATCCAAAATTAAAGCAGCAGCAGCYAGCTTATTCATATTTATTTGCTGAACTTTATAAGCAGTGAGCTAACTATGTTGCCAAATATGTGGCAGACAAAACAAACCACATGAATTTAACATTTGCAATGACACAGATGTGCAGGTGCAACATCAACAAAGCATCCGGACAGCCCAGATTTAGCTGATAAAGCAGGTCTCCAGGTCCCAGACTGCTAGGAATAAGCTTCTGTAGTAGTAACTATTCTGTTTGTTGTTATATCCTCTCTGGAGGCCGAAACAATTCAACTTCCCGATTAGAGGCTAATGGTTTGCTAATAGCTGACAGTTAACACCCTCTTTGTCAGACGAGGCCCTGTGGCAGAGCTGCGTCCACGGCCTCTCCCTGCCCGCTGCCCCGGTCAACTACAACTTCATCTCCGCCGCCCAACTCACCGACAGCCGGCGTGTCACTGCGATCCGTCCGCCTGGAGAGCCAGGGGTTTCGTGCAGACGCGTCCCCCCACCCCCCGCCACAGCTTTGGGTTTAGTTCCGCAACCTCCTCCGTTTTGACGGGGAACACGCGACGAGAGTTAGCGGAGCCGCTGAAGCCGGCGGGCGAGCAGTGAGATGAGCTAACGTCCTGCAGTCTGTGGGCTAAAGAAGTTAGCTTGCTTTAGCCTGCTGTTAGCATCGGCGCTGTTAGTGTTGTTTCTGTTAGCCGAGCTGATGCCTCAGTCAGGAAAGCCGACTCGCTGCAGCCATTCTCACCCAAAGCAAAGCCAGGTCTAGGTAAGGCTCTTCATTGTGAAGTGAAACGACCCTTTTGTGGTTATTTTATCCAAACAGCGGCGGGACAGCATCCAACACGAACAGCCTGCATTTCCTACTGACAGCTACGTGCGCGCTCTCGTCAACATCGTCAGGCACGCACGCGCACAGGGGCCTCCCTTCAAAACGGAACCATTAAATCACCTTTTTATCAAGTTGCTCATTTTCTAAATACATTTTTAAAATAATCATTGTTCATATGAGCTTTAGGGTGGCCAAACAATGTATTAATTTATTAATATAAATCCACCACCTCTAGGGGCTCCAACTGCTTTGTTGTTATATTATTTTGTACCACTAGATGGAGGGATTCCCTCATGAAAAATATACCCAGCTCCATGAAGACTGACTTYATTTAATCCAAAACAAGTTTATACTAGTAAAGCACATTTCACATTGACCAATTAAATATCCAATTTAAAACAGTTAATTTGCCTAAATGACTCATAGGTCACAATTAAGAGGCTAACAACCAACAAAACATTTCTTTATAAATGGTCAGGTACTGGACTTAGAATAAGAAAAACAATTAGGTTATAAATAAAACGCTGAACAAACTTTCAGAAAGCCAAGAGAAATATTACTCAACTCCACTTAGAGAGATTGTTGCCCTAGAAGCAAAATATAAATGAAGCAGGGACGACTTTTTATTTTTGAAACACTCAAGCAGGAACATGACACGAATGCATGGAAGGGACGTTCTCATGTTGAAATTCTTTTCCTGTATTTTTAGGGGGTAATTTGTCATTTGTTTCCACCCTTGTTCCTCCTCAGGTTTGTTTTGGTTACGGCTGCTAAGGAAAATCCCAAAATCGAGGAACACCCAAACAGTTTAGAAAATCCCTTTTTTTTTTTCCAATTTGTGTGAGTCAGAAGCCTAAATGTTACCCAGCTGGTTCTTTAGCCAGCCCACATAAACTAAAGAACATAAACAATGGGCCTTTTTTTCCATGACAGAACTGTCAAGTGAGTAACCAACAAAAAAMTCAAAACAAAAACTAGATTGCTATGATTGGGTTGCCAGGTGCAGCACAGTTTGCAGAAGCTGAAACTGAGCAAAACACAGYGAAACTCCAGATAAAAGCAAAAAAGTAGTAAAATTCTAGCAAAAATCTAAAAGTGGCAAAAGGGGACTTTAAAAAAAAAAAGGCAAAAACCAAAGAAAATTTGTAGTTTAAAACTGAAGGCTCATTAAAACAGAATGGTTGCTACAAGCTAAAGGTAGCATAAATAGAGAAAATAAAACCAGGACACTGAAGCTAGGTTCAGAAATAACATTGTTTAAAGAATTTAAGAGATTAAAATGTAGTAATAATTGGAAAATCATCAAGTAAAAATGTTGAACGCAAACAAGTCACAGCTCCTATCACCTAAACGAGCCGAAGGTTTAAGTGTGAACAGCTAAAATAAATAAATAAATTTAAAGAAAAATGTTGAATCAGCAATCACAAAAAAAATCACAAGTAGTAATTAAGCTATGTTTATTTAAAAACGACAAAAAACAATTACATTATACTGACAAAATAAATAATATAGTAAAATACTAATATTTTTGTATAACATTTCACTTCTGTCATAACTAAAATACAGACTGTTACACACTCATATATATATTATTCATATTTGTATATATGATAACTGTGGTGGTAACAGGTCTGACTGATAGCACTCAGACTCCCTCGAAGCTTAAATTATCTTTTTTTTAAAAATCCATTTTTGCCAACATTTCCCTTTTATTTAAATAAACGTTTGTAAAGGTTCCTGTGGTTCTGAGCGCGATACCGGGAACTAATGTAAAAATATTAAATTAGACTAAATCACATAGTTTCAAGAAGATATGAAAATAAAAAAGTGCTTATTGGTTTTATGATAAATATTCAATCTTCAAAGCAGGAAAACTGCAAATCAGCTCCATGTAAAGTTAGATTCTGTCCAGTTTATAGATACAGAGCTGCTGCTGTGATAGAGACTGAAACACTTCACTGTGAGCGTCTGCCCCCTCTGTTAGCGAAATATCTCCTGAACCACTGGACGGATTGTCTTCAAAAAAATCAAACCCAGTTTTTAGCGGTTCTCAGATCCCGTCTGCATCACAGCGTCAGGTGCGTTGAACTGCTTCGGGGGACGTTAGGAGTCTTTGGGGTTCTCTGAAGGAAACGTGCCGATCCATTTCTGCGTGCGAGCTAAACACTGGTCCCAGCTGTAGAGGGGTCGGTACTGGAAATATCTCTGAGCTTTGTCGGTCTGGACGGTGAAGGTGGTGCTGGCCACAGCCAGGGTGTAGCGGTTCAGCAGCGGCGTGTGGTTGTAGACGGGACTGAGCACCCAGCGCAGCAGGTCGTTGACCACGGCCAGGAACCAGAGGACGGCGGCGGGCATGCACACCCTCCTGAAGCTGAAGGCGGAGAGCAGACTCATGTTGAAGTCCTCGTAGCTTTTGTACGGCGACTCGTCRTAGCAGAAGAAGGCTTCGCCTCCGACCCTCTGAGGCTCGTCCCTGAGGGCTCGGGCTGCGAGGACGTGCATCCAGGCAACATTACCTGACGACGCAAACACAGGGAGAAAAGAGCGGGCTGAAGGAAGAGCYGTTTCAAACCTCACACACATGATGCATTTCTGCTGAAATCTAAGGTAATGTGTTCATTTTTTTGTTGCTAATAGTCAGTGGTGGGCACAGTRGCACTAAAGMMCTAATAGGGGAACCAATTTCCCGATTAGTGCGTTGGGGTTTTTGCYAATTTTAAAATTTATTAGTGAATTAGCACTTGCTAAATTTATAGGCTAAATTTAGAAGCATTAACTGAGCACTAACTTTATCTTTAAACGTTATTGATCAACAATGTCAACWGCTGAGGGTGAAAGCTGTCACACATTTTGTTAACGTGTGTGTCACTGATCCACCAGGTGACAATATATGAACACAGATACAGCTGTGGAATGTCGATGATGAGTCTTAAGAGAGCAGAACGACAACATGTGACTCACGTTGTCTGTTGAAGAATATTCATGGGTTGACTGGGTTATTTTAGTGCTTTTAGAATTAGCTTTTGCTAAAACTTTCAGTGCATTAGTGCTTTAGAATTAGGGGACCTAAATATTTCAGTTAGTGCTTTAGGGCTAGCAGAACTAAATTTTAGATTAGTGCTGCCCACCACTGCTAATAGTAAAAAAGACTAAACTATTCCTGAACTAAAAGTGTATTTTGGGTCATTAAAACCCATAAATGTTTATAAAACATGCATAAACTTATAAAGATTAATAAACTAAAAAACATTACAATCCTATGACCTCATTTAGGAGCAGATCTTTAGTTATTAACAGCAGAGCAACAAAGCTGCTGTATTGGCAGGTTTTACCAATTATATCAGGAGAAAACATCTTAAAAACCTTCTGAGAAATATAGAGGAAGTGTGTTTTGCTCGTCTAATGCACTTCTGCTTTTAGTTTTGCTCAAACCACAAGTTTTTAATTTCAACGAGGTTCTTTTACATTTTCTTTATGTGCCTTTGCTTTCTCTAAAAAAAAAAAAAAGAGAGTAGTTGTACCTGCATAAACCCTCCCGTGTTCGATGTGATCCGGGACACCCCCGATAACCAGCCCTCCTCTGGCTACAGCCTGTTTGTAGAAATCCTTTATCAGCATGTGGCCCTCGCCGTAGATCCCAGTCGGCCTCAGAGAGCAGGTGTGCAAAGATTTTCCACCTTTCACCTGCACAAAACCAAACCAGTGAGGGCCAGCAAAACAATAAAATCATAAAAACTACAAGGATTGAACTGCAAACGTTAGAAACGTCTCCACAGAAAGGCAGCAGGGGAGAGGATTCTCTGCAGAGGAGTTGCACAAGAAACCCAAGAAGTTTTTCCAGTGTCGAAACTCAACCAAGCATTTGGCTGCCACAAAGAAATTTATGACTCTTACCCAGTTTAACAATAAAACATTCCTATTGTTTGCAGTAATATTTAAAAAAAACTCTTTACAGTACTGCTGTGTTAAGATTAAAACATGTTTCCAGTAAAGAGAAACTGTTCCAAAATATGACAGCAGTTTCTTAATGAAATTAGTATTTTAAACTTTGTCGAACCTCKATGCCGTTAGCTTCCAGGACCAGTTTCTCTGCCTTTGATTTGCTCTTAGGATAAGCCATGTTGTGTTTCACCAGGTACGGCGTGTCTTCATTGCCTCTGTAGAGAAAAATAAATCAAATATAAAAAACAGGTTTTATTTGCCTCTTCTTCCATTTGTTTAAAATTAAAGAATCAAATCTACAGAAGTGTTTTAGCTGCACTGTGATCCATAAAGGCTCTGCATGTTCATCCAGGAGAGAAAGATTTGACCTTCTACTTCACTGAYTGAATGTTGTTTTAATGGAAATTGATCAAAACAAGAAGCTGGAGTAGAGAAATGTTCCTGATAGTTTACAAAGAAAAATCACTAAATGTCTCTTTGTAAATGGTTTGATCTCTGGTTTTTACAGAGAGCTGCACAACAAGCACAAACAGACTCATTCTTACAGCAAGACTGTTGAAATGTGAGTGCAGAAAGTCTGTGCAAACTCACAAAAACACAATTAACCTGTGGGACCTAACATGTAAAACATGTTGGACCTAACATGTGGAACCCAACGTGTGGAACCCAACGTGTGGAACCCAACGTGTGGAACCCAACGTGTGGAATCCAACATGTGGAACCTAATGTGTGGAATCCAACATGTGGAACCTAATGTGTGGAATCCAACATGTGGGACCCAACGTGTGGAACCCAACGTGTGGAATCCAACATGTGGAACCTAATGTGTGGAATCCAACATGTGGAACCTAATGTGTGGAATCCAACATGTGGGACCCAACGTGTGGAATCCAACGTGTGGAACCTAACGTGTGGAACCTAACGTGTGGAACCTAACGAGTTGGACCCAACGTGTGGAATCCAACATGTGGAATCCAACATGTGGAACCCAACGTGTGGAACCCAACGTGTGGAACCCAACGTGTGGAACCCAACGTGTGGAATCCAACGTGTGGAACCCAACGTGTGGAACCCAACGTGTGGAATCCAACATGTGGAAGTGAGTCAGATGTTTTTGTTGGCAGACAGATGACACAGTTTTGTCCTCTTTAAATGATTCAAACAAAGAGGTGTGAACCTTTGATTTGTCAACATTCTTTGATTCACTAATTTGTTGCAGACATGATCTCACTGAATTACATCAGCTGTTTAAATTTAATCCTCAGTAAACTTGACAAGTGCAGATGGGATTTATTAGGCCGACTCAGTGAACTGATTTAAAAACTACAGGCTTTAAAGTCTGATTGTATCAGAGCAGAATAAATGCATTTATAAATGTGTTTTAGTGGTTTTAGCTGGTCTGACAATCTGAATCAGTCCTGAGCTGAGCTTCTGATGAATATTTCTAAAGTTGATTAAGTCAGCTTTAAAGTGTGATAAAGAAAGTTGTAATTACCATTTGATTAATAAAATCTCAACAAAGAGATTTATATTGATAAAGTGAAGATGAGTGAGTTTTTTAATGTTTGTTAAGATTGTTTTTGGACCCTCGGTGGTCTGAGCAGAGTTACATCACAACATGTTCACCCGATTAAACACACAGCCGACAACAGCTTTTTAAAAGTTTCATTTTCTCTTTCTTCATTACTAAAAAATAAAAATCATAACACACAGGGGTGTGATTTTAACAACAACAGAGGATAAGTGAATCTTTTGTCTGTTTTGTGCCCAAAAAAAGGTAAGAGAGAGAAACACTTTTTATATTTATCGGATATAAAACGGTTTTAGTTTTCAAAACAATCAGATTAAAGCTGCAGTTCTTTATAAAAATATAATCTGAGTTACAACATTCCTCTCTCTATGAGAGGAATGTTGTAACTCAGATTATATTTTTATAATCTGAGTTACAACATTCCTCTCTCTATGAGACTAAACATATATTCCATCATCATGATGTGGAGCTGTCATCACTTCTTTAATCTGGAATGTGTTTGGATTTCTGCGGTTTGTTTTTCCTGAAGCTCTGCAGACACTTGGAGACACTCGTCCCTTTAAACRTCTGAGTCTGTGAGCTTCTGAAGGAGGAACGACTGTAATTTTCCACAAGTGTCACCTTTGTTGTTTTGTCAACAGTAACATTAAAGAGGTTGGAGGTTTTGCACATCAAGGCTGGAAAAACGATAAAATGTTTTGTGGCAACCAAAGGACAAAGTCTGGATTCAGCTCCTGGACTTTTAATCCCAGCTGGAGCCWTAAAGTTTTTTTTTTTAATCATAGCATCTCTCATCTAGAACTGGTCTTTATTTTTACAGTTTGTTCTCCTGAATGGAGTTTTAAACCTCGTTGCGAAGCAACCAGGACACCATCTCTCTCCTGCGCAGCCCTCATGGTTTTATTATGCTCCACAGAAAAACTCTTTCCTACAATAAAAGCCAATCAGCTCCATGTGGGCTCTGAGGGGAAACATCTGGACAATCAGTTGGTTCTCTTTAATAACACACACGTAAGCATCTTTATTTTTATTTTTTGAAGCTTCACCTCTTAAAGTGATCTCCGTTGACGTTCGGGCCGATCACCTCCATGCTGCTGGTGTAGACGAGCCTCTGGACGCCACACTCCACGCACGCGTTGATCACGTTCTCCGTTCCTGAGAGGACARGAAATGGTTTTAGTGGATGATAGTCAGTGGAAATAAAAAAAATCAGCCCGACCTTATTTGGAAACAGATGTTTTTAAGAGCCGAATAAGTTCTGTCCTCGTGATGGAATGAAACAGATTCTTTAAATCAGGATCAAAAAGAAACAAATTAAAATKAACGAGACTGAAGCTGCTGGTAGTTGTTTGTGGAAACACGAGGAGAATATTTTCTGTTTAGTTAATCTGCTCCAAACAAACCTGGGTTTTATTAAACAGCAACATGCACTGGAAAGATATATGGCTTCACAAAGTGGAGACGATTATTGGACTTTTTACGACTGCTGGGGACGTGTGGCTTCTTAAGGCTCAAAACTCCATGGATACATTGGGCCTCATGCAAGAACATGTTCGTATTCTTATCCTAAATTTCTCTTACTTTTGTTCGTACGAAGGGTTCGTA